CATCGCATGGAGGTGCAAAAACAACAGCAAGAGGAAGAGGTGAAAGCACTCCAGATATCGCAACGGGGTGATGCTCTTGTTGATGCTGTGCGGCAGTATGAGCATGTGCTAGTGGCATTTGAAGAGGAAGTTATGTTCCGTCGTGGCTCGTTCTCTGCTGCTTCTTATATGCTTGGTGAAATTGATCGCTTTTCCAATGCGTTGCTGCGCCGTTCTGAGGCAAATCTGCAGGAGCTTACCAGACTGCAGATAATGGCAACCGAGAATAAAGAGAGTGAGCTGCGGACGGCCCATGAGTCTGCTGTAGCGAGACTTATGCAGATAGTGTATGCTAGTCAAGAGCAGTCGGAGGCAATGTGCCGCCGGCTTTTACAGCAGTTGGAGTGTGAGGCTCGTGCGGTGTGTGAGGCCCACATACGACGACAGGAACAAGGATGGCAGAAGTCTGAAATGCACAGACGTATAGAATCACTGATAGAGACTTTGCAAAGGGATAAGGCCCGACACGTGGAGGAGAAAAAACGTCTGGAAGAGGAATTATGTGTGCTGCGGTGTAGTGTGCAGGAGCAACAGCAGCAGCGGGAGTTGGCGGAGAAGGATGCACAGCAGCGTGTAGATGATGTACGGTGTGAACTGCGCCGTGTGGAGTGTGAATTGATCGAAGCAGAGCGACGCCACACGTTGGAGTGTGCCGCACTGCGTACCTCGCTTGAAGAAGAGTGTGCAGTTCACACTGGAACAACAACAACAAAAGCAACGATGACCGAAAGAGAGGAGTCTATAGGAGAACACCACAAATGCTACACAGCTGACTTTGAAGTGTTATTAAAGCAGATGGAACAGTTTGTGGGGGTTCTTTTCTCTCTTGCATGTGATACGGTCTATGCAAAGATTAGCGATTTACCAATGGGACTGTTATTGTTAGAAACTGGCGTAGAACTGAAACCAGGGGAAGCAGTTTCTGAGACATTCTCTATACCTCCTCCTTTTTCACGTGAACTGGAGAAGCAGCAGCAGCAGCAGCAGCAGCAAGAGAGAGATGAGATGCATGAGCGCATTAGGTCACTAATGGATATGCTGCAGCGTGAGAGAACTAAACATGAGGAAGAGAAAAATTATCTCGAGAAGGAATTACGTATGCTGCGACACTGTGTGCAGGATCAGCAGGAGGAACAAGAGAGTCACCACAACCTTCATCATCATCATCATCATCATCAGGAACAGCAACAGAATAAAAAGAAAAAGCAAAAGCATAATCAGCAGCAGCAGCAGAAGGATTCACATGACTTTCGGCGTGATGAATCGCATGCAGATATTCAAAGATCACAGGGAGTTGATTTTCGCACACCTCCACGCCGTTCGGTCTCAACTGGTGATGTGACACAGTCAATGGTGCGTTTCTCGAAGATGTTGAACGAGCAACGCTGCAAGAATGATACTCGGCTGCAAAATCTTGATACCCTCATGGCAGAAGTAGATGATCTTATTGAACGTGGTCGCATTGTGACGCGACTGGAGAGAAGTTCAAGTCTAAAACGGGAATCCTCTAATGCTATGCGTTAGTGTGCGGTAACTGTTATTGCTTACATATATTCTGTTATTTCTTTACAAGATTGAGAAGAAGAAGAAGTAAAATCGCGAGAGAAAAAAATGAGTATGGGCTGTGTTGTATAGTCAGAGAGTTATTATCATTTGTCGTCATCGCCATCTTGGGACGGGATGGGGGAAAAACACATGATGTCCTTTTTTTTTTGTTTTTTGTTTTCTTTCTTTTTATCTCTTTATGTGTATTTCCTATTTCATCTGATGTACGCTTTTTTTTTTTTTAATTGTTTTTCTACACTTTTCTTCTTCCTTTCTGTTCATACTGACCTATATATATATTTGTATCTTTTTTTTTTGTAAACGTACGGAAATTTTCCCCAAACGGCGTCGTAGGAAACCAAAAGCGCTGAAACAAGGGTAGGGCGCAAGTTAGAGAAAACAATGGACGACGGCGCTGATATTCTCACAAAGGCGAAGCTGTACGCCACCATGTCTGATGATGACTCGTGGACAGAGATGGGTGTCGGCATCGTCTCTGTAGTCTTGCGTCCCGCTGCAGATGTCAATAGTGATGAAAGCAATGATGGTGGTAGCAGCAGCAACAACAACAGTAACAATAATGCCGAACAAGTTGTTGGGCAACTGGAGATAATTGATATTGACAACCCGGCGGAGTTACTAATGAGTACACCTATAACTCTTTCAGATGCCTATGTTGTGCAGAATGAAACTATTCTGTGGTGGTCTGATCCACAATTAGGCCGTCTCATGGCATGTAGCTTTAACACAAAAGAAGGATGTGAGAAGATACGAAAAGAGATTGTGGCGTATCAGAATTCTCGTAAAACTGCTACTACAAATGAGATTAATGGCTCTGAAAGAGCCAATACTCCATCTATTTGCAGTCATTGGACAGTATGTCGTGAGAATCTTCCGGCAATTCTTTCTGCAGCAATGACTAATGCGCAACGTTTTGGTGTTTTCGTTCGAGGACGTGAATCGTACTTTAAAGAACTTGCAGAGTTATTTCAGCTGTGTCAACGTGAGGGTGACTTAAGAGGTATGGATCTTATAGGACAAATTACTCTGGCTCTTTTACGTTCACCATTTAGCACTGATGGAAAAATTATTGCACAATTTGTTGAAAATTCACTTGTTGATACATGTGTAGATATTGTTCAGTACGCTATTGGACGTCGGGATCAAAGTACGGGATTTGTAAGTTTTGAAGAGCGACGTGCTACTTTTCGTAATCCATTGCAACTTCCGGAAAGTATTGTGGCACGTATTCATGTGTTGTATTCATGTGGATATTTAAAAGACCTTTTGCCACTCAGCCTGGATGAAGCGGATGCGGTCCCATCTTCATTGCTTAGTACCTATCTTACATCTAGTAAGTTTCGACTAGTAGAAGATATATGCAGATCTCCACTTATACTTCCCCAAGCATTTCAACGTGCCTACAATGATGTTGCAAACGCCTTTGAAGTTGTGGCTTTTGTCCACGACATGTGTAAAACAATAAAAAACACGATGATGCCCTTGGATTGTAAAACTACTATGTTTGAAGCACTTGTAGGGACTGGACTGTTGCCATTTCTTCGTTTTGTTATTGCAAATGCGATTGAGTTATACCAAAATGTGGGGTCATTCTTACCTGCACAAGCACAAGCACAAACACAAGGAACTCCAGCATCCTTATTATTATCATCATCATCATCATCATCAGAACCACCACCTCCACCAACACTTCCTTCCTCTTTCAGAGTAATGCCAGGAATGGCGATGCAAATGGCCTGTGATATTGTCTGTAATTGTATCATGTTATATCCTGCTGGTCGTGGTGGTCTTGTTGCGGAGGCCCTAACAAGTCCTAATGGATGTCTCCTTGAGTTACTGCTTCAGTGTATTATCACAAGTAAACGCAGTGCTGAATTGCAGGCGGCCTTTGACGCAGTCGTTAGTTGCGGAATTGGTATCTTGCAATATCTACCTGGTATCATAGAGACAGGAGGTCCTACAAAACGGGATGTAGTACGTTTCTGGGTGGAGGGTGCGGCAGGACAGAGACCACCTTTACTTCTTCTCGTTGTTCCTCTCGCTGAGGCATTTCTTCGAGGCGAACCTATTCCTCATGGTTCACACGAAGAGATTCGTGTACTACATGTTCTTAAAGTTCTTACATCACTTGTGGGCGAAATAGATGAACAACTCAGCCATTCTTTTGCAAGTGTATTTCAGCAAGCAAACCTCATCTCATCTCTTGAGGTGGTACTACGAACAGATAATCGCTCAAGCGCTAATTTACAATCTTCAGTTGTGGCACTAGTAACTACTATTCTTGAAAGTGGAAAGCGACGACTAGTGGATCTTCTAGTTGATGGTTTACTACTTGAAACTGCATTACGTCGCTATATGAAGTATGGTCATCGCAATAACATTTTAAGTTCTTCATTGGCACATCTCTTTGATGGTGTTTGTCGGGCTATTCATTCTGAAAAGAGTGGCGGAGCACGGACATTTTCTCATATGGCTAGCAGCCCATTCTTGCATATTTTACACAGTGGTGAGGATGACAGTTTGGCGAGCAGGACAGCAGATGGACAAGAGAACGGTAACAGTAGCAGTAACAACACTTGTCAAACTATTGGCGGTCGACTTTGGTCAATGCATGGAGAGGAACTTCGAACACGGTGCCCATCATTTGCCAGAAAATTGGAGCACGCACTTCAGGAAACACCAGAAGAGGCACGATCTGCAGATGCCGAGTCGTCAAGTGTTGCGAGCACTCTGGAGCGCAATATTAAGAGTATTACAGATGTTGAGTTTGATGCCATGGTAATGGACTTTGGTGTTGAACTGCAACCGAGAGGATCTGTTATTACGACGTTCCCTAACGCACCCCTAGTTGCGCAGAATGTTACAGAGAAAACTAACAGAAAAGAAGATCACAGTGATGATGATTTTCATGATCATGAGGAAGAGGAAGAAGAGGAGGAAGAAGAACAAAAAGAAGAGGATGATGGTGAGGATGAAGATTATAAAGAGAAAGAGGATGAAAATAACGAGGATCGTGGAGAGCCGCTGCTGAAGCGCTCAAGGTCTGAGTCAACCTCCAGCGTTGGGCATGAGTAAAACAAACGAGAAAAAAAAAAAAAGAAAATGGAGTATTGGTGGATACTAAATCCGCTCTTGATACCCAATGCCTCTTCTTGTTCTTTTTGTTGGTATGTTGATGGGATTGATAATTATTAGCTTTATGGGGTTGTTGGCTTTTTATTTTTTATTTTTTATTATTATTTTGTTTTCTTACCTAAGTATATGTGTATATATAGCGTATTTTTTTTTTCTGTTTTTTTTTTTTTTGATTCTTTTTTTGGAACCTAAACGAGGTAAATTTACCGCACGGCTAAGTGACGGTTTAAAAAAAGAAATAGTAGTAGTTATATATAATTGTATATAAACATACACCTAATTTTTTTTTTTTTGTAAGTTGTGAGTGATGAGCACAGAGCGAAAGGTTTCTGCCCAACAGCAAAGCTTTCGAGATTTATCGGAGTTTCGCATGTTTTTAGGAGGTACAAAGACAATTGAACGACTTCTTATCGCAAATAATGGTCTGGCTGCTGTGAAAGGTATTGATTCCATCCGTTCCTGGCTCTATGAACATATTGGTGACCCAGGTGCCATAGAATTCGCTGTAATGGCAACACCAGAGGATCTACGCGCCAATGCAGAATTTATTTCTCTTGCAGACCGCAATGTTCCAGTTCCCGGTGGACCTAATTCAAATAACTACGCCAATGTTGATCTTATTATGCACACGGCACTGCAGAACGCATGTGATGCCATTTATCCTGGTTGGGGTCACGCCTCTGAAAATCCTGCATTACCACGTGAATGTGCAAAAACCAATAATAAAGTAACTTTTCTTGGTCCTTCTGAAGATGCAATGTTCGCTTTGGGTGATAAAATAGCTTCTACTATTGTAGCCCAATCTAATGGGGTACCAACTGTGCCTTGGAGTGGTGATGAAATTCGACTTCCACCTTGTGTATATGAGGTGGACCCACAAGTTTATGAAAGAGCATATGTAACAACTCCAGAAGAATGTGCGGAGGTGTGTGCACGGATTGGATTCCCTGTAATGATTAAAGCATCAGAGGGAGGTGGAGGTAAAGGTATTCGACGCTGTCTGCGTATGGAAGATGTTCGTGACTTATTTTTCGCTGTTGCAGAAGAAGTAAAAGGATGTCATATATTTGTTATGCGATTATTAGAAAATGTACGTCATCTTGAAGTGCAGTTACTGGCTGATGACTATGGTGATTGTATTGCGGTGCATACACGTGATTGCTCCGTACAACGACGGCATCAGAAGATAATTGAAGAGGGTCCTGTCTTTGGTGTTGATCCTGCGATTATTGCCGATATGGAGGCCTCTGCCATTCGCCTTGCCCGTGCTGTTGGTTATCGCGGTCTTGGCACCGTGGAGTATATGTACGACAAGACGACCCACAGTTACTACTTCCTTGAGCTGAACCCCCGCATTCAGGTGGAGCATCCCGTCTCGGAGATGATCTCCGGCGTGAACCTGCCGGCCGCGCTGCTCTGCGTGGGAATGGGCGTCCCGCTCTACCGCGTGCCGGAGGTGCGGAGTTTCTTCGGCGAGCGGCCGTACGAGACGACGCCGATTGACTTTGCGCAGCGGCGGGGACTGCCGGCGAAGGGACACACCATCGCCGTGCGGGTGACGGCGGAGGACACAAATGAGGGATTCCGCCCCACATCCGGCCGTGTGGAGGAAATAACGTTCAAGAATAGCAAGGAGTGCTGGGGGTACTTCTCAGTTGGACCAGGGGGCGAGATTCACCAGTTCGCGGATTCACAGTTTGGACATATATTCTCCTCCGGTGAGACACGCGAGGATGCACGACGGGGGATGGTAATGGCATTGCGAAATCTTGTCATTCGGGGTGAAATACACACATCAGTCTCTTATGTCGTGGAATTACTGGAGCGGGAAGAATTTCGTAACTGTGATATTAGTACCGCTTGGCTTGATCGCCTTATCGCGGAACGTGCATTGCAAGGACCTGTACAACAAGATGTTCATCTTGCCCTCATCGCTGCTTCTACTTTTCGTATGCTAAGAAATCATGAAGAAAATATCGCTAAATATACTGCCTTTCTCAGTGCAGGACACGTTCCTTCCTCTGAATATCTTAATAACTGTCAAACGGAATCATATATAAATCGTTCGAGAAAATATATTGTCACGATGGGACTCAAAAGTCCTACAGAAGTTGCACTATCTCTTAATGGTAGTATTGTAACAGTTCCATTTAGAAAACTTAAATCTGGTGCACTTCAGCTTACAATTGCTGGAAAAACAGTTATTGCTTATGCAGAGAAGGAACCTACAAGTCTACGTATTTCTATTGGAGGTAAAGAAACCACATTTACAGGTGATATTGATCCAACTAAAGTATCCTCCTCCGTTCCTGGTAGATTTGTACGCTACGTTGTTGGTGATGGTGGTCACGTTTCAGAAGGTACAACAATTGCGGAAGTGGAAGTCATGAAAATGATTTTACCACTACGCGCAACAACAGCTGGTGTACTACATCATCGTGTGGTACCTGGTAGTACCATCGCGGTAGGAACACTCATTGGTGATATCACCCCAGATGACCCGAGTAAAGTAGCACGTCCACAAGAAGCACAAGAACAATGGCCGCAAAGTGTCCTTACAGATAAAGAAAAGAAAAAGGAACGTCCTGATGGTCTCACACGCGCACGACGTGGTGTTGAGGCTCTATGGAATATGTTACATGGATACCATTTCCCTGCCAGTCTTTTAGATAAACGACTTCAATCAGCCTTTGACAACCTTTCTTCACTTTGCCTTTCCAATGTTTCCCTCGCCGCATTGAATTTACCTTATCTCTCTTCCATAGTGGAAACAAGTGGAGATACACCAAATGAGAAACTCAAGGCTGTTGTAAATTTCCTTGTTTCCGAGTATCTTACAGTTGAAAAACCGTTTGTGCGTTGTTCTCGACAAGAAGCTATTCAAATTCTGCGTGAGAAAATGGATGATCCTAAGGCAGTTTATGCAGTTGACTTTGCACACCATCAGCCATGTCATCACGGGGTTATTAAAGCACTTCTAGCCTCACTAGAGAGTAATATGATTTTAATAAAGTCTCTACAAGACACACTAACGTCCATTTTAAATGTAAATTCTAGTACAAATGGTGACCTTGCACTTCAAGCTCGTTATTTACTCAGACAATGCAGTCTTCCTTCATTTTCAGAACGTAAAGCCGCTTTCGCAAAGGAGTTGGAGTCAGGATCTATTAAAGATCTTATACAAGGTAGCTACGGTACTGATCTTATGTGTTCCATTATCTTTGATCGTCATGTCCCACACCTTGTTCAACTATGTCTTGAGTTATACATTCAACGAGATCATTTTGGTGAAAGTCAAGTTCGGATTCTTGATATTTTTCCACAGGATGGTTGTTGGTATGGTTTCTATGAATATGAACCATTAGAAGATCATGACCCACTTCGGGTAGAGAACATTTCTTTCGATACAGCTTTCATAGATGACGCGAGGGAACGTACAGGGATTGGTTTTTGTATGATGTTCCCTGACGAACAAGTTATGCGTTCTACCTGGACCACCGCGTTGAACAGTGTTATGCATCAATCCCCACGTGAGCCCTTTGTCTGCACAGTTTTCTTTTCCGTCAGTTTTCAATCAACAGAATCTGAGGCAGCACGATTATGTCAACAGTTACTTGAAGAACATACAGAGTCATTAGCGCAACATAAAAGTCTTCTCCGTATTACTTTTATTGTTCACGGTGTTTCTGGTGGTCCTCATACTTTTACTTATCGACAATCTGCTGCATGGCGAGAAGATACATTAATTCGAAATATTGCACCACTTTCTGCACGTCGTTTGGAGCTACAAAGACTTGTGAACTACGATGTATCCATGTATCCAACACCGTTTAAGGATGTACACGTATTTCGTGCAACTCCTAAGAAAAAGAATGCCTCATTTCTTGAGAGTCGGACTTTTGCACGTGTATTCGTAAGTCCACGTGATTTGGGTGTTGATCCATGGACAGAAGCGAATGAAATTGATGCTGGTCATATGCTTTCAAAATGTCTTGGTGCACTTGAATTCGCTCGTAATGACAATACACTTAATTATACTATGTATAATCATGTCTTTATCAAGATGGCAGAGTTGACTTTTGATGTATGTGGAATGAAAAGACTACTTGAACATGTGGGTAAGTCGTATGCACAGCGACTAAGTTATTTGGGGGTCGCAGAAGTGGAACTTTCTTTCCACGTAAAAGTTAGCAGTGGTTATATTCCTTTTCGTGTTATTATTTCATCACCATCAGGTTATGGTGTGGTAATGCGTACCTGTTATGAGTGGTTTGAGAATGGCAAGATATTTTTACGTCGCGCAGAAAACTCTGAAGATGTTTCCCTCACAGTAGCGCACATGTCCTGTGATAATATCAGTGAGGCGGTTGCAGAATCTAGCCAAAGTGATATTTCTTGTACTACTGCTAATAATAATACTAATAACGGTGGTACAATGAATTTTACCAATAATATTATGCGCACGGTATCAAAGTTAGTGGCATTACGAAGTCTACTCCCATCTCGTGCCTCACTACAGGAATCCACAATGGAAACAAGTGATGAGGTTTATGATAGCGTTCAACTGGGTCCATATCCACTATTAAGTGAAAAACAGGTGAAACGTCTGCAGGCAAAAACTCTTCACACTGTATATGTGCACGATTGGCCTATTTTACTTGATACAGTGTTACGAAAAGAGTGGGAACGTCATGCACGAGCGCGCCACATTCCACGTGATCGTATTCCATCAAAAGTAGTAATGGCAACAGAACTCTTCCTTGACGCAGCAGATGGTAAAAGTCTCCGAGAGGAAAAACAACCAGGTCACGTTCCTTGTGGAATGGTGGTTTGGATTGTAACCCTCCTACCTCCGAGTTATTACAATGGTAAGGAAGAAAAAGTAGGGAGTCGCCGTATTGTGATGGTTTCTAATGACATAACATTCCAGTCTGGTTCTTTTGCAGTACCAGAGGATGCTGTATTTCAGGCAGCCTCTGAGTTAGCACGTCGACTGCGCATTCCTTTTGTATACATGAGTGCTAACAGTGGAGCCAGACTTGGTTTATGTGCAGAGGTAAAAAAACGTTTCCGCGTCGCCTTTAGTGCGACAGATGAGGTGGAGTATTTATATCTCTTATCTGATGATTATGAAGAATTGATGCGTATGGGTGTAGAACTGGAGGTAGAAAGAACCGAATATCATCATGATCCTCAAGAAAAACAACAAAATGGAAACAACAAAGGAGGTGAAACTCGATATATCATTCGAGGTATTGTTGGAGCACCTAGTGAATACTTGGGTGTAGAGAATCTTTGTGGTTCTGGACTTATTGCAGGACACATGTCAAAGAACTACAGTGAGGTACCTACTATCAGTATTGTGTCTGGTCGAAGTGTTGGTATTGGCGCCTACCTTAACCGTATTGGTCGTCGTGTAATTCAGACAAATGATTCACCATTAATTCTTACAGGTGTGGGGGCCCTTAACCGAATCCTTGGTAAGGAAGTGTATAGTGACAATAGTCAACTAGGTGGACGACAAGTAATGGTACCTAACGGTGTAACCCACTGGAACACCAAGAATAACTATGACTCTGCTGAAAAATTATTGCGTTGGCTGGACTACATACCACCTGTTGTTGACCCACTTCGCTGCAATCCACGTTTGTTAACATTACCCCACCATGACCCTATTGACCGTGATGTGACATTTATGCCTGCTGAGAATGAAGCATACGACCCGCGTCATCTTGTATGTGGTGTTGGTGATAAATTGGGTCTCTTTGATCGTGGCTCATGGATGGAATCACTAGAGGGATGGGCAAAGTCCGTCGTGACAGGACGTGCCACACTTGGCGGCATTCCATGCGGTGTTATTCTTGTTGAGACTCGTCTCACACGTAAATTAAATCCTGCAGATCCTGCAGATCCAACATCAGTTTCTTCCTTCATTGCACAAGCAGGACAGGTGTGGTTCCCCGACTCTGCACGCAAGACGGCGGATTCCCTTGATGACTTCCACCGTGAAAGGCTTCCATGCTTTATTCTCGCAAACTGGCGTGGTTTCTCCGGTGGAATGCGGGATATGTTTGATGAAGTACTTAAATTTGGTGCTTCCATTGTTGATAACTTACGTGTTTACAACAGTCCAGTATTCATTTATATTCCACCACATGGAGAACTACGCGGTGGGGCTTGGGTGGTTGTGGATCCTGTTATCAACCATAATGGATCAGTGGAGATGTATTGTGATCCTACAGCTCGTGGAGGTGTATTGGAACCATCCGGTGTGGTGGAAATTAAATTCCGTGAAAAGGATATAAGAGAACTCATTCGTCGTAATAATCCAGAGTTTTCCACCCTAGATTCGAAAAAACTCCGTGATGAGGAAAATCGTCTTTTACCTTACTACCGAGATGTTGCCAATCGATTTGCCGATTTACATGACAACTATATTCGTATGCAGGCAAAAGGAGTGGTGCGAGATGTTATCCCATGGAAGGATAGCCGTCGTATTTTCTATACGAAACTTCAGAGGAAATTAAAGGAGTTATCCTTAGCCTCTTCTTTGGTGGAGGCGAAGAAGGTGGAATCCTTAATGGAAGGAGTTCAGAAAATTGAGGAATCCTTTGCACAAGATTATCCAGATATTCGATGGGGATCAAATGATACACTGCATTTACAGTGGCTCAAAGAAAAGGAAGAGGAAAAGGCCTTTTTTGCAAACGGAACATCCGTATTACCTGTAGTTGATAAGATCGAAAGTTTCATGGCTGAGTGTAAAGCTGCTGGTAAACTGGACAACTGTTTCCAGAGACTTTTCGAAGATGAAGAGTTACGAAATGCCGCAATGCGTGCGATGCAAAAATCGAAGAATGAATCTTTAGAAAAAGATGAGTTTTCTTTGGATCAGGAAAGGTAGTTCGTTTGGGGGGACCTCTGGGAGGTAAGGGAATTCAAGAAAAGGACAATAATTGTGTGCAATGATACTGTTCATATCAATACAGTTTCTTTCATTTTTTTTTTGTTTTTTTTCATACTCATGGTGGTTAAAAAAAAATATATATGTTTTTTTTGTTTGTTTTCTTTTTTATTCCTTCCAGAAGATGCGGTTTTTGGTTTGAAGTTTATTCCGTATCTAATCGTCAAGGTACATTCGTGGCGATTTTTATTTGTTTGGTTAGGCAATAAAAAGTGCACTATTTTGATACATGCAAGCGTTGTTATTTCTCCTTATTACACACACGTACACAGATCTTGTGTTTCTGTGTAATAAGGAGTTTTCAACAAGTTTCTTGTTTTCGATTCTAAAACCATGAGGTAATATATATATATATATATTATTGTGGAGGAACCAAATCGCTAATGAGCTATACAAAACGTAATTGCTGATCTGAGAGCGTATACGTGTTTTATTACACTGTTCATTTTTTCCTTTTATTTTTATTTTTTCTTATCCCCATGTTCCCCTTATTTATACTTTATGCTTCTACTACGATGCTGTGTGGATACTTGTATCCATATTTATTATTATTGTTATTATTATTATTGTTGTTAGTATTTTGGTACTGTTTTTTCTGTTTCTCTTTTTTTCTTTTTTTTTTCTTCTTGGTGGTGGGGGGTTATTGTTCTTAACTATTATCTTCCTCCGTTAGATTCTCTTAATCATTTGGGGCATATTTTCTTGCGCCAAACCACAAAAGATAAAAAAAAAAAAACGAAAGTAGTAACAACGAAAGTAGTGTGCACTTACCTGATTGAGTGGGTCAGTCCGTAAGCGAGTAAAGAGAGAGTGAGAGAAGGTCTCTCTTTCCCCACACAGTGTAACTCTCTGTCTGTGCGTGTGTACAAATATATTTTTGTACACCTATCCGTATATATTCTTTTTTATTTATTATTCGAGTGATAACAGTTTGACTTATGACCGATCCAAAGAAGCCAGCTAACAACAACGGCCTGCCGCAGCCTCCTACTGCCGAAGACGCTGGAAAGACCGATCCCCTCGATGGTATTCTTGGTACACGACCTGATTGCAAGTATGTAAAGAAGAAACTTCTTGGACAGGGGAGTTTTGGCAGTGCTTGGCGCGTGGAAGAGACGGAGACTGGGACAATTTACGCAGCTAAAGTTATGGATACAAATAATATGAGCACAAAGGACCGTGGATTTGTAACGAATGAGGTGAAATGTCTCTCACGCTGCAATAATGCTAATATTATTCGACACCGTGTATCATATGAGCGAGGTGGTATGCTTCTTATTATCATGGAGTATGCTGATGGTGGAGATCTGTATAAGCAGATTAAGGCTCGACAACAGTCGATGCGGTACTTTAAAGAGCATGAAGTTTTATTTATATTTTTACAGCTATGTCTTGCTCTGGATCATATTCACATGAATAAGATGATGCACCGTGACTTAAAGACGGCTAATGTTTTATTAACCACGACAGGTCTTGTAAAGTTGGGTGATTTTGGTTTCTCACGTCAGTATGAGGACTCTTTGTCGAACCCCGTTGGTTCTACCTTTTGCGGGACACCTTATTATCTAAGTCCGGAGTTGTGGCGACGTGCGCCGTACAGTAAGAAGAGTGAGATGTGGGCCCTTGGTGTGGTGTTGTATGAAGTGATGGCCCTCAAACGTCCCTTTGGTGGCCGCAACATGGATGAACTCATTGACAACATTCTGCACGCCCGCCGCCCGCCGCTGCCATCCATGTACAGCGAGGAACTTCGCAATGTGTGCGATCAACTTCTCTCGCTGGATCCCAAGTACCGCCCATCGCTGCGGCAACTCTTCCAGCAGCCGTTCATCCGCAAGGGGCTGGAGACGCTGAAGCGGAGTGTGGAGAACCACAACCGCATCCCGCCCGATGTGCAGGCGGAGATTGCCCGCAACGTCGATGAGGTCCTCAGCTCGGAGCTGCAGGACTACGACACGGGCCGCGTGGTCCCCCGCACCGGCACCGTCCGCCGCCACACCGCCGACCGCGGCTGGCAGGAGTGTGAGTTGACGCTCAACGAGGAGGGCGTCACGATGTGGGACAAGGAGACCGGCGCCGTCGAGACCGTGCCGCTCGCCGCCCTCACATCCGTCTGCCCAATCGACGCGGTGATTGCAAACGAGAAGTACGTCTTCGCGATGAAGAACCAGACAGGGAAGGCATTCTGGTTCAAGGAGGATAATGAGACATCGTACGAGGAGTGGCTCACAGCTCTTCAGAACGCCATGCCATTCTAAAGAAGAAGAAGAGGAGAAGGAACAGGAGGAAGAATAAGAAGAAAAGACGAAAAGGACGATAGAATTCAAGAGCACATTATGTATGCAGTACTTTTTCCCTTCCCCATTCTTTTCCCCAATCCCCCACTCTTTTTCCCTTC